AATGACCAGGAGGTGGCAGTATAGAGTTCATGTTTCTTTTTCATTATTTTGGTTATACTTACTGTTATTGAATTCAGCAGGACTTAAAGCACTGGGTTTGTTTGTTTACTAATCTTACACACATATACCTGAAGTTTAATTCAGGCAAAGCTTTTTCATAAATGCTCTTAAAGTCTTTTTAGATTGAAGCCGTATAAATGAAAATAGCTACTTTTGCTGGTTTATGAGAGTGACACTGCTATTTCATTTCAACTTCAGAATTTATTCCCTGGCAAGTAATGGTCTTCAGAGTGTGAGATCCCCTATTTGTCTTACATTCTGTTGTGATCAGAGGAGGAGGCCAGGTCAAAGTATTCCCCCAAAATAGGTGGCAGCAACAGAAATACAGCCTAACAGCTGTTCCACAAAGGTAGGGCAAAAGAACAGGCAGTACTAGAGGACTTGGGGGAACTTAGGCAGGCAACCCAGCCCTTCTCAGCTGCTACAGCATGGCATGGCTGATTAAATCATCAATTCCCCTGACCATCTGACATATATACATGTTACAGCAGTGCAGATCACCAGATATGTAAAACTGTAATCTGTCAGTGAATTTTTAACCCTCAGCTGCTGCAAAAGGAAATTGGCACTTTCCACTTCTTAGATCTCTCTCCCCCCATCCTGTAGACCAGTGGTTCTCAACCTTTTTAATGCCGCGACCCCCCAACCGGTCGTAAGTCGAGGACTAAACCGGTCATAAGTCGAGGACTAAACCGGTCGTAAGTCGAGGACTAAACCGGTCGTAAGTCGAGGACTACCCAACTGGTCATAAGTCGAGGACTTTCCCTGCAGGAGCACCGCGCATGCGTGGTTCCGCCCCCTGCGCCGGCCGAGGCGTAGCTGGCAAGCGGCAAAGACGGAGCAGGCCAACCACCAGCTGGCCCAGCTCAAGGGAGGTAAGGCACCCGCCGGAAAAGGGGAAAAAAATGGCAGACAGCCTTGCTTGGCGACCCCCGTGAAATGGTCGATCAACCCCAAATGGGGTCGCGACCCATAGGTTGAGAACCGCTGCCGTAGACTCTACCATGGGGGGGGGAAGTGTGGAGTAATCAGGGTCAGTGCTGTTACTCACACCCACCAACTACCTACCATTTTTCACTCCCATATAGCAGGGAAGACACAATATAACTATCTGTTGGACCATGGACGTCCAACCTTTTAGCTTGCCTGGGCTGCACTTAGTGAAGACGAATTGTCTTCTGCCCCATATCAAATATATAGTATAGTTAATGTATGTAAATATCACTAAAAACCACACAATAATGATAAAAATTTACAATTTTGTGGGGCCACATTACTAGCTGCTAGGACTGGGTACATGTGCCAGCTTTAGACAATGCTTCTCTGAAATTGCATAATTCATATGTATGTCCCTAGATTAAAGAATCCTAGTTACAAGTCAGCCACTTTGTCTTTTTCAGGATATTTATGGGTTATAGTATGGAGAGACTCTGCAAGTGCACAGAACAGACTTTGATCTATGTTATATATTAATTTAACATTGAAATCTACGCCTTGCGACTAAAATGAACAAAAGTTGAATTACACAACTGTAAAAGTGAATTGTCTTTGTTTACATGTTTTAAATTTTATAACATTTAATTACTACTAAAGGCTGGAATACTTAATACACTTACTTACAACAATCTTCCCTGCCTTGGTGCTTTCCAAAAGTTTTTGGATTGCAACTCAGCCATTGGCTGTGCTGGCAAGGCATTTTGGAGTTGCAACAGCAAAACTGGAGAAGACCAGATTGGGAAACGATAACTTGGTGTAAACTCTTCTGAATACTATTTGACTGAGCTTGTAACAATGCAGAGGGGATCACACAGTAAGGATACTGAAGCATTTGTCCATATAAAAATACCCTGCAATATTAAACTGAATTCCAGTAAGGCAAAAAAAAATCTATGAACTATTATGCAGCTTTTTAATTTGAATATTTCATTTGATTTTGTAGCCAGAAAAATAATTCAAAGGAAGCAAATGTTCCTTACATAATGCTATAGTAATAGGGGTGTGCAAAATAAAAAATATATTTTGTTTCAAAGCTGAAACTATTGAGTTCTAGAAGTGCTGCCAAATCATTATTTAAACCAGTGCCTGTCCTGGAACATCACTGGCTAAAGGGAAGCAGGCAAGGGAGGGAGGGAAGGGATCAGAAAGACCAGGAGAGAATACCCCAACAGGGGTAGGTTTCACAGCTTAATCTGAAATAATTCAGCAGAAGCAAAACTCAGAATGCTTTAGCTGTTCTGGATTCTGCACACAGCAAAATCCAAAGGGATCATCCCAGAGTGACTGCCAGATCCCCAAATCTGTTGCATCTTGTATTCCACATTGTCTGTCTATTGAGTCACCCACCCTAATCTTCTTAGCATCTTCCACCCTATCTTTCCTCTGCCACTCATGTCCTGATTCTTCCAGTTTTTTTTCCCTCTCTCAATCAGTTGCTGCTGTTGTTGCTAATGCTCCAGTGATGATTCAGGAGGGCATACTGCGCCAACCCCAATCTTGCCAGGGTCTTCACTCTATCTCCTCTCAATAGCAGCTGCTGCAGATGTCCACGTGCATCATCACTAAGGATAGTCGTCAGTCTTAGCTTTGCCTTACTCTTACCTTCATACACATCACTTCAGTCTGGAACATTTTGGTCCACAACTTGCTACAAACCAAGCTTTGTTTTGAACAGGGACCTACAAAATCAGCTGTTTCATGCAGGAAAGAATAAATGTATGAAACACTCTGCCCAACCCTAGACTGAATCCATTCCTTTTAAAACAATCCAGTTTTATGCTTCAATTCACATCAAATGATGCTCACATAACTTCTAAAAGCAGTAAGCAAACCAATGATTAGGCACTAATATTTAGGGAGGGGGAAAAGAAATATTATTTATTTTGAACACATTTACAAACAAGTTCTTGAAGTACATTTTCTTTTGAAAACGGCCCAGGAGGCAATAGAAAGTTAGAGACCATACACAATTTACAAATAACCTATTATTTACATTACAAAACTGTGTTTAAATGGTAGCCAGGCCACTGAAAAATTAAGAGAAATTAAGGTAACAGAATTATAGATGAAGTTCAATTTTAAATTAATTTCTAATGGCAAAAACACATTTTATACATGACTCATCCTATTAGCCTTCTGTAAATACAAGCAAATACACGTACACACTGATTAGAAGTGTGTTCATTTGTTTCCCAGAGTATATTCATACCCTCAGCGGCGTCAGCATTTCAGGCTTTTATATTTTAATTGGGAAGAATTATTTCCATGGGTGTCTATACAAATGCTATATCTACTTGCAGGTGAACTTTACCATGAGGATTTCATGGATATGTCCAAATGGATTTCTTGGCAACTATATGGAACTGGTTTGCCATGGCCTATCTTTTTTCCCAGCCTAGCCTACACACTGAGATTTCCTGGAAGCCTTACACCCATACCTTTTAACCAAATTTGACCCTGTTTAGCTTTTCCAAGTGGGACTATGGTGCTGTAACATCTAGGCCAGACTGCATAATGCAGGAGATATATTTCAAGCAACTATTTTCATTCTGCTTGCGCAATAAAAGTAATCAAGTTCCAGCAGATCTGATGCTCAGGGAGGAGTCAGTTGCAAGCCTTAAAATAATTATTTAGTCTTCCTTTCCATTCCATGTTATCTTTCCACTGATACCACATTTATGGCTTTCTACTACTTTCCTAATGATGCAAAGTGGAGTTTCACCAGGCTGTACTGATGAACAATTCTTCTTCTTCATAATTAAAAGAGTAAATGTAAATGTAATTTGGTCATGCTTAACCTATACTAATAACAGCGTAATAATCAGTTGAACTATATTATAGAAATCTGACCCTTCCTCTCCAAGCAAGAAGGGGAAAATGGAGCAAATGCCCTTTCCAATTTTGATAGAAGCCAATATAGAATTATTGAATTCTTTATAGAATTACCAAAGTAAGCAAGAGAAGGAACATGTTGACCACTGGGATACCTCTGAACAGTTCAACATAGTCGTTTTTACTGGTGGACTGATGTGGGCACAACTGCTCTTGAAAGAACTTTATCTGAAAAGGTAGAGCTAGACAGGAGCAATTTATTTAAAATTACACACACACACCCAAGTGCTATCAGTGTTTCTATATTCAAGGATGTTATCATAAAGACTGTATCTGCACAGGGAGAAAAAATTAAAAGGCAATATCATGCCCAAATACTAGTGCCTTATGGGATAATGTACTCACAATAATTTGTAATCATCTTTCACCCCACCTAAATACGGCAAATATCTCCATGTTCAAGTAGCATATAATCCAGGATGTCCTGAGCATGTAGGAACTGACCATCTTTTTTTTTAGGCCTCAGTCCCAGCCATGATAAAGTACACTAGGTTCTCTTATTTCTCTTTCCACTTCCATCTACAATGGCATGACTGGGTTGACAGCACTGCAAAGTCAGGAGATTGTGTGTAACCTGCCAACTTCTTTTTTTTCCTAGAGTGAAGATGAAAACTAAAACAGCCATGGATATTGTACACAGAGATAACCTCTTAGGATTAGCTGGCTGGATCCAATGACCCAATTTTGGTATTTGTGTGAGATGTTAGCTTCTCCTTATAACCAAATTAACACTATTGTACAAACCAGACTGTGTATTTGTAGAATTTCATTTTAATGCCACAGGTTGGCAAATTCATTATTTAAATTTGCTGATATTGAGGGGGAGGTGGGTGGGTAACATGTGAGAATAAACCGTAAAAAGCAAAGTAACATCTGCCAACAGCAGAATTTAACTTTATGGAAAGGAAACAGGTGTTAGAATAAATCCTGGTAATATAAGTATAGATATCAATGTGGTTTTTCTGTTTTCATCTTTAACTGAAAAGACAAAAAAAGAGAGAAAACTTTCCTAAAGAAATATCCTTGTGTATGCTTCATTTTTTGTTTCCTACCTGTGAAGATTTGGCGAGCTTCTGACTGTATTCCTTTTCAATCTGCTTCAACTTGCTGTTGGCCTGAAAGACACAAACAAAAAGGGAAACCAGATTATCTCAGATGAAGAACGTGTACAGACATTTTGCCACTGACCTCTGTTGCCTGGCACTTCGTCTGCATGCCTATCACTAAGCAGCTGGGAGCTTTGCCAATTCCAACGCCCTTTTGTGGCAGCCAAAAAAACCCTAGGGCTTGCCTTTGATCTAGGGCCAGCTATTCATCACTTGAAAGAGAGGGAGGGGGGAAAGGGAGGAGAATAGCACTGCTGCTGCCAATTATTAAAAAAACATAAAGGCCTCTGTGGATTTTTTTTTTTAAGTTTGGGGGGGAAGAGGGAGAGTGAGTTTATCTGAATGACCTCATCTCAGTAAGAAGAAAAAAGGGAAGGGAAGGGGAAAAAGTCACCAGCTCTACTGGGGGCTGGGAGGATATAATGTGACAGATACTCTATGATATTGTATGCCAACTGATGCCTGCTAGTTCCTTTTAAATATTCCCATGTACCTTTTTGACTAAAAATTGGCTTCCATTAACTCAAATTCCACTACACTATAGAATCATTTCAGCTTATTTTGACCCACAGCTCTCTTCTTCTCCCTTTTTAGCTTCTCTTTTGTACCTCAAAGGTAAGAAGTAAACAATCTGGAAATAGGGCTTATTTGTTGATTTGATACCACGTGCAGTTGCAAGAGCAGGATTTCTAAAACTAACTCAACCCCCCAACTTTCAAAGAAATATTTACCTAGATTTCTCTGTTGACTTAAAACAGTTAAGAATCTATCCCAACTTTTCAAAGGATAACTCTCGTACTTAATTATGAACCAATGAATGTGCTCTGTTCTCATGTTTCTGGACACAAGGCACAAAATACTATATTCTAAAAAAACGTACGGGTAATTTGGCACATTGAAAATGGGACAATAACTCTGAGGCACATGTTTCCCTGTTCTTTTATTGAGCAGGGAAATATGTGCATGCACAATTACTACACCCTTGTACAATATTTTTCTTTGTTAAGAGGAAACAAGCAACTTTGGACAACACCCATTTATTAAGAAAGTGTAAGGCAAAACTAGTCAGTCAAGCTATTGACTTTGTAGCTGAACCAATGGTTCCATTTTCAAATTAAATTCTGTAGCTGTAAATTGAAATTAGGTCTTTTAGCTTAATACAGAAATATTTAGCAAGTATCAACAGGGAATTACATTGATATAAAAATGTCAAAATGTGGGTACAGCATATTAAAGGGAGTCCTTGACTTACGACCACAATTGAGTCCAAAATTTCCATTGCTAGGCAGGGCAGTTGTTACATGAGCTTTGTCCCACTTTACAACCTTTCTTGCCACAGTTGTTAAATGAATCACTGCAATTATTAAATTAGTAGCCCGGTTAAGTGAATCTTGCTTCCCCATTAATTTTCCTTGTTAGAAAGTCACAAAAGTTGATTACATGATTCTGGGACACTGCAGCCATCATAATACATGCCAGTTGCCAAGTGTCCAAATTTTGTTCACATGACCATGGGGATGATGCAACGGTTGTAAGTGTGAAAAATGGTAATAAACAACACTTTTTTCAGTGTTGTAACTTTGAACAGTCACTAAACAAACGGCTGTAAGTTGAGCATTACCTATAACTGCTGGTGATTAAAAACTGCAGAAGGGTGTCAATGTCTTTTCCACATTTGACATAAGAAAAAAAAATGGGCCACCCATATTCTATGACCATATAAGCATTTTATACACTATATTTCTTGAAGAGGTCATCACCACAGCTGGTTGCAGCAAAACATAACAAAAAGCACTATGGCACAATAAAAATGATATGCTTACTATGGCATCAATTTTTGATATAGTAAATACTACTTCATCAGATACATGGAATGTTAGCTTCAGTTGATAGCATACAATTAACAATGACTTCAGAAGGAATGAAAACTAAGAAACGCAGTCTGTGATACTTGCATTAAAATTTAATATATAATAATTATAGTGACCATTCATAAAACACAGTTAACAACACATACATTCGGGCATGAGTTAGCTAATTAACATTGTCAATGTGGATTAGCTCAATTCAGATTGTTAGTTTATTTTATTAACAGAATTATATGGCTGCCTATTTCATAATGATTCTAGGTAGCATAAATCATATTTGTTCGTTTATTTAATGTCCAACCTTTATTACTTTTGTAAATTACTCAAGGCACTGAACATATCTAATACTCCTTTCTCCTCTTGTTTTCTTACCTGTTGCCTTAACCACTACACCAAACTGATCTAAAACCAAGATAAAACAAAAATAGCCTTCTCTCCAGTTGCAAGACCAAACAGTTTCTCAGCTCAACTTCCATCCTAGCTCAATGCTTGAGGGAAGAGCCAGGTCTTCACCACCTTCTGTAGGGTTAAGGGATAGACATCCATTGAATCTCAGGTAGAAAGTTGTTTCAAAGGGCTGCAGTGGCCACTGAGAAGTCTTGCCCATAAGGTGGCATCTAAGGGAGGAGATCTGGAACTTGCCCACTCTATCTAACCGGCAGATACTCTCATGGTCTTGCAAATAAACTGTCCCTGTGCCATGTAAAGCTTTCAAGGTTATAACCCAGGACCTTGAATTTAATTAGTTGATTAATATATTAAATGTAGAGACCACCCATCTCACTGAGTGATTCTGGGCAGTATTCAATGAAAAACATAAAAACCATATAAAAATATTATAACGTCAATAAAAAAGAGGCAATTAAAACAAGGATAGAATAATTAAAGCTAATTATTGCACCCAGAAAGCAACTGGGAGACAGTGTAGCATATACAGCTGCACTGTAACTCAAGTGAACCATGGGGCACCCAAAACCTGCACATGCTACTGCATTCTGGACCACTGCAGCTTCTTGGGCTGTCAGTTGTAAATCCGCTTTCAATACCATCTCTACTTTGTCAGATAAAATTCGTTCTACATTTAACATTTCTTTTTAACACCATCGATCATAAGAACACTGTCAACATTGTGACTACTATTTTCTATGAGATCATATTGACAAAGTTCCTTGTCCTCTTTCACTAGCTCCCAGCAGTTGTACATTTTGAATTAGCAGCTGAAATGAATGTTAGTTTGGCTATGGTTATGTAAAGCATATTTTGAATTCAATAACTTTTGTCTTTCAGGTTTATAATATAGAACTGTTTAATATGACCTGGACTGCCTTGCCCCAATACTAGCACTGGTGGAGCCAATACTAGCACTGGTGGAGCCAAATTATCAGGCAAGACTTCACTAGGAATTGCCTCACAAATTAATTTTGTTTCAAAAGATCTAACAAAAGGACAAAAGAAATGAATATTGTTTACACTTATGCCTGGAAAAGGTCATAATTATTGTTGTAAGGATGGAAGTATATAGAATTTTTGTCAGTTATGCAGTGCTTTGAACTTACTTTATCTTATTTGTACAAATATTTAATTGTCATGAAATCTGAAAGGAGGACTATTTTAACATTCATTTTTTTTACATTAGGCTCTGTGATTCATGTTTTTTTCTCTTTTAAAATTAAGTAAATTAACTTAAATGTAAATAATGAACTGCATAGTATGAGATGAATATTAATTTTTCTTAAACATATTTTAAGTAAGAGAATTAATTACTTTATCTCCTCAAAATTAGAACATTATAATGTAACATAAAAAAACAAAATTTCCCCTCGGTGTCAGATCAGATTGCTCAAATGTCCTCTTCCCTCTTTATCAAAAACTAATCAGTTGAAATGCAAAACAAACTATAAATATCAGAAATTCATTGCTGCATGTCAAGTAAAGACCCATCCTTCTAAGATTAATTATTTTGGTCAGCCTGGTACATATAAAATCTACAGTGCTTGAAGCCTAAATAAATTCCAAGTGCTGGGAAGGTAGCCAAGCAGAACATCCTCAATCAACAAGATTGATCCAAAGACATATTAATAACCCACTGGAATTTAGCCCCACATGTGGCAATATTAGTACATGTCCAGACCATGTGAGTTTATATTTCAATTTCCAAACTCATATCCAACAACAAAACAATTGCATGATGCCCTTTATAAAGATTCTCTTGGAATTAACACATATGAAATTGAGCTTTGTGTTGTATTAATCTCATTTTATATATTTATTTATTTCAGATATTAAAATACAAAGACTTCCATTTTATATTCTTTAATATGATCCTCCTGGGTTTCACAAAATACAACATTCAAATTCATTATTCCAAAGTTTGCATCGATTGTTAATGTTCGTTTCTAAATCTTCCTTCTAAGCTTAGGCATCTCAACTATCTCATTCAAAGTTTCTAATAACTGTGAAAGGCCACAATAGCATCAGTTTCCAACAGAAAAAACAATATGCTAAGTTCAATAAATTGTCAAGAACTGCTAAAGGTAAAGTAGACCTGTTTAGGTTCTACCAAAAATGTTAGCACAATTACCCTAGAAGTAATTTTATTTAAAGTAATTGTGTTGCAAAAGACTTACTTTATCTTTATAAAAGTTATAAACATGAAGTTATGAGCTATTTTTAAATTGGAATTTTCTCATAATAAATATTTTTTCTTAAAGAACCAATAAATTTGAACCATTAACTGCAGGTAATCCACAGATGAACAAGCAATTTAACACTTGTCAGGATTTTAGTGGGGTCAGATAATAATTTTCAAGCTGAATCCAAATATCTGAATTCTGAAGTTCCTTCATCCAATCAATAGTCAAATGTAAAATAAATAGTGAAAACTTGAAAGTGTAGACATTTAAATCCATCTTTTCTCCAACATGTAAATGTACTTTACAGATTGAAAAATAAGAGGGATGCTCCTGCCCGGAAATCAGAATCCTATATATTTTCTTGAATAAAAGGATAGAAATAAGAACATTTCTTTAAAAAAGAAATAAAGATTAGCTATAAGATCTATCTTAAATAACCTCCCCACCTACAGCAAAATTAAAACAATATGGCAACGCTATTATTATTATCATTATAAAATTATTCTTT